TTCCACATTTTACATGTTTTTACTTCCTCCTGTGATTTTGGATGAGGTGTTTGGTACCTGTATAGTACTTCAGAGGACATGTGCAACAGGCAATCTGAATGTACCTTCTGCTACACATTACTAAGCACCTGACCATGGTTCATGCCTTTAACCAGTATACGTATTTGCTCCCTTCTCTTGTTAGAAATAAATAATTAGCCATAATTGTAAGAATACCTTAACTGAATTAAATGCCAAGACAGAATAAACTAGTTCTAGATTAATTTGTTGTGCATTGTTTGGCTTGTCATGTTTTTCCACTTAGTTGCACGGTATCAGTTTAGTTACAAAGTAGAAATGTGTGTTATTTGTGCTTGGGCTGGTGTGTGAAAAAATAACAGACACATTCAGTGCAGAAGATGAGGGTGAAAATATCTGCCGTTTCAGTGTAATGTGGACACCTTTAGCTGAACATGATCTAATTTATGGCTAGGTGTGATCCATGATGGATGCTGAGTCAGAAGTATCCACACAACTAATATAGGCTGATTTTATTTAGAATAAATCTACAACTTTGCCCACAAAATCTATTTGCATAATGTGTTGAAGCCTCTACACACCATAGTCCCACTGCTGAGATTTTCTTAGGACTGTTTTATTCAACCAAACAGGCCTATTCAGTTTTACTATCATGACAAAAACCATTAAGGCAAACACCACTGGCCAAGATGGAAACAGCTAATGTTGCAACTGCAAGTCCATTTTTAATGAAATGAAACAAATAACTGACTAGAGTCCGACAGAGCGGTGAACAGCAGCTGGTTTGTGGTCAAACAGTGTGGACACCGTCTCCTCCCAGCAGCCCACAGTTTTAGATTATGAACCAGAAACTCAGCAGAGAGGACATCTCAATCACACTGAGCTTGAAAATTCATTCATTGATCTAGGCTGTGTAGATTCATGACTGGATTAAATAAAACCCATAAAATCACACTTGATATTAAAGTTGTGTCCTGGTGCCTGGGCTCTTTGGGGCAGCGTTAATTCAGTGGTACAGGCTGTTCACTCTATGTCTAAAAGCAGACATCCTGTAGCTTAATATGAAAGAATCACCTGTTTTCTGGAAATATTATTATCAGCCTATACCTTTAATTAAAAGGGGTGCCTTGCCATTACATAACAAGCAGCATAGTGGAGGTGGGTTCCTGCAGACCAATCATCAACAAGGGCCGCACAAGCCTGACTCAGGCTCTTATAATAGAAGAAGGTACTTTAAGAGGAGAAATCGATTCAGTATAGATGTTCCAAAATACCTTCCTTTAAATTGGCAATAGATTAAAATGGCCTGATACAGATGGGCCATGACACCTGACCTAAGGACGCTGACTATAGACCTGTGCACCAGACTGTTTGGTGCTGAGACTCAGACTCGACCTGACCTGTCCTGATGAGGATGCTCATAAGGTGAGGACTGACAAAACGCAGCTTTTTGCCTCTGTCCAACATGGTCACCATGGCAACTTACAGTAAATCTGTCTTTGCTTCTCATATCATCCAGGTGGAGGAGTTTTGGTCACTAACCACCTGATGACCTCCATAATGTGGGACCAGTGTGCTGCTGTAGCACCCCCAGATACACTCAAAGGAAGTATTGTCTCTTTGTCTGCCTGTCCAACATCTCCATCTATTCTGTTAGTCTCGTGTCCTATAGGGGGCAGAGTTTAGTGGTTAACCATCTGACTTCCTCATGCCCCTCACTCATTTACCAGTCACATACAGTCAGTGTATCAGGCACTTTAATAGTCCTGCACTGCTCTGGTTACTGGGGTAAAGTCTGTCTGAGATCAGTCTGAGGCTGCCTGTTACTCTGTGCTCACTTTATACTCTGACACATTAGATTAACTGTCTGTACCACTGTTTGGGAACACTGCCTTTCTCTAGAGCTCATTCAGTCCATAGATAATCTATGTGAATACATTAGAGATTATCAATGCCCAGATTTAGGTTAAAAACAGTTTATTGTACTTTAGTGTTAGGCCTCTGGGTCATCTCACTCTGCCAAGTTTCAAGAGGGAGTGTCGTGCTTTGTGTAGGCCCGGTGAGATTCGAGTTTAGCGTTTCGTGTTATTAGATTTTTCGAATGTTGGGAGGTCTCCCAGCAGGGGAATTTATCCCACTCCTGCAAAGCGTTATGCCATTGATGCGGGGATACTTTAGACAGATTCATATTTACGTTGTCAGACCTGGTTCACGCAGTACCAGCCGGTGTGCCGTGCGGTTGGGTTTTTGGGAGGGAGCGTGGCAGAGACAGATGACTCTTGTGTAAAAAAATAAAAATACAAAAGCTTGTGAACACCCAGTTTGGGTGTATTTGTCCTGTTGTCTGTGAGAACGACATCAGTAATGCTATGAAGCCTGATTGTCAAGTACACAGGTTGACACCATATTGAATGTATTATTAGTGAGTTTCACTTTTTAACTTTCTTATAGTAAGATTATACTGTGGGCTGAATTGTCTCAAGGCTAAAAGGCTTTGTATGAAGGGACCGAGCTCTGCAGGGACAGTACCTCAGTTATTAAAGTGAAAATTGGCCCTTTGCAGTACATCGTGTCTTGTGAGTTCTTAGCTTGGCAGCATGAATTAGCCTGTCCTCTTTTCTAACTCCACATATTCTACACAATGTACACTGATGGTGTTTTCTAAGCTGACATGTAAATTAGAAGTGAGAGAGTAGAGAACCAACATGGGCAACAGTTGTAGTGTCAAATCAGTGATAGTTGCACTGCTTTTTGGAAACATTACAGGTTGTGTGTTTATTTTGCTAAATCAGTACACAGTGACAACCAGTTCTAGGGTTAAGGAAGCCAGGGCTTCTCCACACTACAGAGAACGAGGTCAGAGTCGACTCGCATCGTAAGAGGCTTTTCTCCTTCACCTTCTTCTCAGTGTGTGAAGGAGTCCGAGCTTTCAAGTCATTGGGAGTTTGGATAGTTGTTGAGTCTCTTTAAACCTGCATATTTGCTGGAAAAGTGACTGAGGTAGTCAGATGTGCAGGTACCTAGAGAAATGAGGCAGAGTCGAGGCAAATACAGGCTGGATCATGGACCCTACTGAGCTGAAGCTGTGTGCCATGGTTCTGCAGTTTCCAAAACCAGACAAGGATCCCTCTGGTTTTGTGAATCAGCTGACATGGTATGCTGTTATGATCCTACTAAGAGATGCATGTACAATTGATGACATGTTTAAGGGGTAGATTTGGTGAGACAGAGCCAGCTGTGACTATCACAGTCCAACATGAGGATGCACAGAGTAGACCTGACTGGATAAAGGCATATAAAACTCAGTTAATGCGTTATGCCTTTAGACTAGGAATAGTGGAGGGACAAGAAGCAGCACACCTCTCACTTCCTCTCGTGTATTTGAGCTTTACATTTTTAGACTAAAACCTACATCTCTTGTTCTCAGTGAACAGACCTACTTTCAGGACCATGCCTGTGGTGACTAGATCTTCTCTTTCTAAATTGACTGCACTGTTCCACAGCTCCCTACTCAAGTATCTGTAAGCACCAGTCAGGGAGAACGAAGCCATTGTGAGAGAAAGTGTACAGTTAAACGGACTATAATCTTTGATATGTTAGAGAAAAGTACATTGTTCTTCCTGGTTGAAAAGTTGCAGTTTACCAGGCTGTTTCCTGTCCCACCAGAGAAGCTGATGTTGGGACGCTGGGACCCAGAAGTTGTCGTGTTCAGCTGTGAAGAAGACGAAGACCCTGCTGTACCAGACCCTCATCAATGATGATGCCTATCCACGAGTTGTTGATCTCTTCAGAGATGTCAGGTATTCACTCCTGTCCACCTGATAAATTCTTTGTCTTTTTGTACTTAAGATTGAGTGACTTTTTTTTTACTCTGATGCCCAACCTTTGGAAACTGAAGCTGGAGAAAACAACCTGGTGACACAAACGGGACCATGAGGAGGCTGCTACAGACGTCCACACCAACCTCTTGGGTCCTGAGCATTGACTTGATGAGATCTTGAATGGGCCATTTCAGCTGAAGCTTTACCTGAGTCCACCTCTCCCCTGGATGACATGACTGCATTAACTGAACTGTAACCTTTTCCTCTGGATTTTAACTAAAAAAAAAACTTGACTTTGCTTGAATTTTGGAACTTTATCACAATAATTTTTCCATCATTAAATGGTGGAAGTACCGGGGCAGGCTTAGTGGTTAGATTGAGTGATTTGCCATACGCATTGTTGTGCTTTTTTTTTGTAAGCCTGTCTTGATAAGTGTAGTTGTGGTGTTTCAAAATCATCACCGCCCAGATTTTAATAACTTAATTTTACTTTAGGGAAGCTTAGGGTTTGCAGAATAAGAGCAGAAAACAAGTTGAATTTTTTTTTTTTTTTTTTTAAAGGCTGTAGGACAAAGCTAGAGTGTGTGGCGTCACCCTCTCTAGCTCCCCCCTTTCAAATGAATGGAGAGGCTGAGAAATGTCCAAAATCACCATATAACGTAAACTGTGATAATTCAAAAACCTTAAAAGATATGATAAATCTGAATACAAGATGAATAGCTGAGGATTTGCTGTTGTGCGATGCTGAGTCAGCATCCACGCAACTAGTAAAATGTAGTTTTTAAATCACCCTTCCACTGGGGGGGCAGCAGAGGGTCGTTGTTATAAAAGAACTGCTTTAAATAACGGTAGCAAAGAACATAAACCGGAAGTTGTAAGCAGCTAAGACGCTGTGTGGTTTTGATTTTAAAGGTTGTTGGTTCGTTCTAGATAAACTTTCAGATCTACACAAAAACTCAATATGGGGAAGCGACAGCACCAAAAAGACAAAATGTAAGTATCCAGGTACTAAGGTAATAAGCTGCACCACTGAAGCGTGTTTGTTGTTGTTAGCATTAGGTAGCTAACAGTGTTTGCTAACGAATTGGCTAATTGTGTTCATTGGTTGTTCTGACTTTAATGTTGCTTTATTGTGTTTCTGTTTAATCGTGTTTGTTTGTTTGTCCTTCTCACAGGTACATAACGTGTACAGAGTACACAAACTTTTATGGGGGGAAGCGAGCAGGTGAGTTTGTTTTAAATCTCCAACATTTCTAGTTTTAACGTTATCTGGTTAGAAACGTTAACAATACTGACCGCTGATTAGTGAAAATACTACTAATACTGCACCATTTACTAAAATTTTGCATTGTTTTTACTTTTAAGAAATCCCACAGGCAAACTTCAGACGGCTTCCTTTTGACCACTGCAGGTAGGAAGAAGCTTGTTTACCGTCATGTGGAGAGGAACATTAGCTCTGTCAAATTTTGTACAATAGGTTTGCTATTAGACCCACTGACAAATTCTGGGGACGCTGGTCCACCAGCACTAGAGCATACTCGACCACGTTGTGTGACAAAGATTCATAGCTGAATATGTGTTTTTGCTGAGAAATTTTACGTTGTCTACTGTTTTTCATGTTTACATGTGTTTTCTCTTAAACACGTCAGCTTGTCACTTCAACCATTTGAGTATCCTGTCTGTACTGAGGAGGGAGTCATCTTTGACCTGCTGTAAGTAGATGGTGTGAATTAAAAAAACATCATGTTTACAACAGGCATATCTACACATAACTGACACTTTGACCGGCAGCTGTCACTGGGTGTTCATCTGATGTCCATGCAGGCTACTGAGACAAACCTGGGAAGACAAATGGGTTAAATGTCGTGATTTAATTAGTTACTCAAAACGATCAAATGCCAACAGTGTTTTGCTAGGGGAGGGATGTTAAGGGTGATTTTGGTGTGCTGTGTGATTTGTCAGTTAACACCACTTCAAGTTAGTAACCCTGCTTCAAGACTTGTGTCCTTATTGTTGGTGACATATTGAAGACAATTGGAAAGCTGAAGTATAATGTAACTTGCATGTATTGTTTTGTCTGGTCTGATGTTGAGTAAAGATGCCTTCCTTTCTATGTTGTGTTTCAGGAGCATTATGCCATGGATCAAGAAGTATGGTACTAATCCGATCTCTGGAGAGGTAAGTAGCCAAGCAGCATTTTTATCAGATTATTTTATCAACCTGCACATTAGATCAGTTGAATACATCTATGTGTCAGTGACATTAAACAGTAATGTCATACAGAGAAGAAAGATGCATTCATTATACAAGATTTAGTTGGCTAGCTAAATTTTTAAACATGACATAACAGATGAATTCAAAACTTAGGTAACAGTATTCATATTCTTGTACTGATGCCTGGGAGCTTTAAAATTTCAATTGTCAAATGTTCTTTTTCTTTTTATTACAGCCTACCAAAACTAAATGAGACTTTTCATGTATCCATGTACCTCACACACAATATTTTCTATTTACGAAAAGTATTTGTGATAATTTGTTGGGATGAAGAGCTTGACTTTACTAGCTGACTAGCAGGGATTTTTCAGATAGTGGTGCCCAGAGTTTGAACTAAACAAGGTGAAAGGATTTTTGGCCATGATGCTACACACAGCTGGAACCAGCTCCTGTTAGAACTTACATCTGGCCCAGGTGGAGCCACTTTTAAAACTAAATTAAAGGTTGTTCCTTTATCTGCTGTGTTTAATTAATGTATCTTGATTCACGTGTTTTTCAGTTTATTCACTTTCGTCTTTCTTCCATTACTCAATGCCCAGTTGAATAATGGTGCTGTTCAGCTGAGTGTATAGACACTGTTTCAGATTTCTGGAAGAAACTACGTCTGTCTCTAGTGTTAAAGTACTCAGAGGGTTGTCCTGGGAAGACTGAAGTAAAGGGGTATAAAGCATAATGAGAACAGTGAGAATCCACAGTTATCCTAAAAGTACTACATGTAATTGTTGCTTTTAATTTGCTTTCTGTTTTATCTATGTATGCATTTTAATGTTTTATTTTTCTGTGTGCATTGTGTTAAGCACTTTTAATTGCCTTTGTGTATGAAAGTGTGCTTTTTAAAATTGACTTGCCTTGCATAGTTGTATACAGTTAAATACAGCAATTATGTATTTGTTGTTAAAGGGAGTTTTTCCCTCCTCGCTGTCACCCAGTGCATGCTCGGGGGTTTTTCCTCTGTAGTAATAATAACGGTAAGGTCTAGACCTTACTTTGTAAAGTGTCCTGAGACAACATTTGTTGTGGTTTGGCGCTACACAAATAAAATTGAATTGAATAGGTCATTATTAAACCTGAAATACTTTTGATATGAGATTCTTCTTTGGAAAAAAAAAAAAAAAAAAGAATTTATCATATTATTTCTATGACTACACAGTAATAGTTTGGGTTTTCTTTTTTTTACCACAGAAACTGGAAGCAAAATCCCTCATCAAGCTTAACTTTGCCAAGAACAACGATGGTAAATACGCCAGTGCTTTAATGTACTTTAATCATTAAAGAGTCACATTGAAACTAATGGTATAATATGTTAATGACTGTTTTTGAGCTGAATAAATGGAGGTTTTCCTCATTCTAAAATCAGCCAGTAGTTGTGAATAAAATGGTCAAAGCTACACTGCACTGCCATGTGAGAGCTGCTTGAAAAAGAAAATTTGATTTAGGGTGGTAGAGGCTAATTTTTGGGAGGATAAGAGCAAATTAAAGCAGGTGGAACAGGAAGATATGAGAGCAGGTAACATGAGGTACTTGTGCCGAAGCCGAGCTCTGAGTGTGGCAGCAGGTTGAGGCTCTGCGTGCTTTTGATTTTCCTTTTTGTTTTATTCCAGGAAAGTATCACTGCCCTGTTCTGTACAATGTCTTCACAAATAATTCTCACATTGTTGCCAACAAGGTCACTGGCAATGTGTTTTCTTATGAGGTTAGTGAACTCGCATATTTCTTCATTGATCCTCATATAAATGCTTTTTTGTAACATGTCTAAAGTTGCACACACTCACAAACGCACACACAAAGGTTATTGATTTACATTTCAGTATGATCCGGTGCAGATGCTTGGCCCACATGGTCTCGCAAGATGCTGCTTTACATCACACAGAAGAAGTTGTGTACAACAAATGTTTTTCCAAACAAGCTGAGGATTTCACACTGTACTGAACTGGTTTTACAGTTGACAGAAGAAGAATTACCTTTTTCTGAACATGTTTTGTCTAATTTAAAGAAAACAAGCAGAAAAATGAATTTGACTTACTCCCATTTAATGACATTTTCTGTTTCTACCCAGGCTGTTGAGCAACTCAACATCAAGACCAAAAGTTTTAAAGATCTGCTGAGTGACGAACCCTTTACCAGAAGAGACATTATAACCCTTCAGGTGGGTTTGTTTTTTATGTGTAAAATTTTGTCATTTAGACAAAAGTAACTTTTAATCTGTTGGTGATTTGTTTTGTCTTTGTAGGACCCCACACACCTGGACAAATTTAATGTTTCCAGCTTCTTCCACGTGAAGAACAACCTGAAGGTGTTGGATCCAGGTGAACTGTCAGACTGTTACTTGTCTTTTGGGGGGGGGAATTCTGCTTTTTTGTTAAATTCTAATCAGGGTTAAACATTGAAGTTAAGTCTTCATGCAAGATGAATATCCTTACTGTTGCACTCCTTTCCTTGGCACCGTTCAGATGAGGAAAAGGCCAAGCAGGACCCGGCGTACCACCTGAAGAGCACCAATCTTGAGACCAGGGAGACCTTAGCTGAGCTGTACAAAGACTACAAAGGGGATCAGCTCCTCGCTTCCACCATGAAGGAGCCAGAGGCCAAGAAGACAGACAAGATAAATGCTGTAAGGCAAAAATATTGCATTGCTGAAGTCTTTACCTGGAAGATGTATGGGGTGATGGAAAAGGGAGCTGGTGAAAGTATGCATAGGAAAGACCAAATCAGTGAGTGAAGTAGACATGACTAGAACAAGCTCTTGCTGTAGTCCCCCTGGGAGTAAAGGCTTTTTAAGCTGTAGTTAAAGGACCAAGAAACACTGCAATGGCTGAAGCTTGTTTTAAAATATAAAACATATGCATGCGGACTCAGCTTAAAGGTAGCAGAATCCTTTTAAAGGCAGTGGGAGTTGAGTTTATCAGGTGATGGCTGCTGGTCCATTATGTACCTCATAATATGTTTTTGTGTGATAATCACCCAAAGGTTGACGACCTTTTGTGAGCCATGTGTGTACAAGAATAACTGCAATCATGTGACTTTGTGTGACGGCCAACTCACACGTAAATGTCCAACATGTGAAACGTCCTGGTCTCTCCACTGACCTTGTTGCTGTTGTTGCTCTCCTTCATGTTTATTGTTACTGGTCTGTGAGGCACTGAATGATACCCACCAGCGATATGTGTAGGACGGCTTAGAACGTTAAAACAACCACGAGTTCCGATTTGAGTGCTCCAACAGTGCTCGTGAAGTCAGAAATTGGATCTGGGAGTACATATGCAGGTGGCCCAGATCTGATCTGAAGACATTTGTCTTAAACTGTAAGTTTTACCTTGTACACAGGAGGGAGCCAGACACACAAGCAACTACATCCTTTTAGCAGAATAGAAATGTTTACAGTGTTGTGACACTTGCATTACAGGAATTTAAGCAAATATTAAAAAAATACAAGCAGTAAGACCATGTCCAGTTCTGAAACATCAGCCTGAGTGACAAATGGATTTGGTACAAAGGTCTTTTAAATCTGCAGCAGGTTTATTTTTATTTAAAATAGCTTCTGGGTCCTTATTGTAGTCTTCATACACATCTGGTCTCAGTCATAAGTCCATTGTAACCGTGGGTGAAACAAACAGATGTGTAACAGAGGGTCAGCCGTGGTCACATCACCACCTTGACTGTGTCCGCGAATGATCAGCAGGATGAAGGTGAATTTGTTTTAACAGCATCAGTGCCTTTTTTTTTTTTTTTTTTTTATTGGCTTTCTTTTGATGCTTTGCCACATCTTGTTATTACACCAGATCTCTTCCATGGTTACTCCCTGTTTCAGGTTCACAGATGAGGTGATGCTTTGGCAGCATCTGAGAGAACAGGGAATATAGGTCAGACAGTACACAAGATAGGGTCTGTGCTTTCACAAGAACTAGAGCAGAAGAATGCTAAAGCAGGGCTGCAGAGTGGACTTGAGCTTTTGAAATCACTTCTCAGCTTTCATCTGCACTGAGTGGTTATTCTCACTTCTCTTAACTCATCTCATTGCAGTGTTTGTGGTATTTTTAGGTGTATAATATTATTCATAAAATGTATTGTACTAATTTAAGTTGATACAATCTTAAAGCATCTGCAACACTCAGTAATTTATGACATGGTAGAAATCACTCCAAGCTCTGCTTTTAATCACCCAGAAGTTGTGGAGGCTGTCTTTAAATTCGTTTCTGCTTGATGTACCACTCGGTGCAAACAAGGGGACCAGTCTGTGGCTGGAAAGAGGCCTGGTGGTGTGGAGAAGTTAGTTCAACTGGACAACGAAGCTTCAGGCTCCTTTAACGAAGGAGGCTCTGCCCTGTTGAAATACACAACACCAGTGGAATATTATAAACCTATAAATAAGGGCTACAAGTAGTGTTTCTTTTCATTGTCTGATTATCTATTGATTCATCTATAAAATCATGGAAAACAGGGCACAATGATAATCAGCTTCCCAGAGAGCTGGGCGACGTCTAAAAATTGTAGTAAAACTTAACGATATTCAGTTTATAGTGATATAAAACTAAGAGAAGCAGCAAAGCTTCACATTTGAGAAGCTGGAGTAAGACTATTTGGCAAATTTGCATTACCGATGCGTTGTTTGACTGATTAAAAAACTCGGTGCTAATGCAAATATACTTGGAGCATTAAATAATGGACGATGTAATAGGCATTTCACAGAAACGCATATCACATCTTGTCAAAACCCATGTTACATATATACTGTAGGTCACATGATAACTGAGCTAATTCAGGCCGCTGATAAAGGCCATAAGATGGTTTCAAAAGCTCCAGAAAATGGCAGAAAAACGCAAGTTAATAAAACCATTAGGGGAGTAAAACTTGCATAAATGAGAACTAGGAACCTGTTTCTGCTGTTCAGAACATTTTTCATTATGTACCCTCCCACTAAAATCCCCCCATTAAATGGCCTTTGAAGACATTCCAACAAGTCAGCCAACAACATGATGGGATACATTAAGAAGACCGTCACAAGCGTAAAATGAAAGCTTTTTTTTTTTTGTCTGTTTCTCCAGGCCCACTACTCCACAGGCAGAGTTTCAGCCTCCTTCACGTCCACAGCCATGACCCCAGCAACAACGCACGAAGCAGGCAAGCGCACATCTCGCACATTAAAACCTCTGCAGAAAGAAACATTCTCCTCTTCTTTTGTTACTTTCATCTTTATTTATCGAGGGAAGACTTGTTAGTCACTGCTGCTCCTTTGCAGCAAAGTGCAGCTTTGTGCTCTCACAGATGAATACAGCTGCAAGTGGGAGCTTGGCTGTACTTTCTTCTGCTGTCAGCCTCTGAGCTGCTCCATGGGAGAGATTTGCTGTTATGCAACTGTAGAGTAGGTTCAATACACAACAGAAGAGGAGGACCGTGTTTAGATTTAGTGGCCTAGTTAAGAATTCTGAAAAGGATGGCCTGCCATATATATAGTTTAAACTATGTGTCACAGAAACAGAATAATGAAATGTGTTGTCTGTATATCTAACTGTGCTGTTGCAGTAAAGGATTTATCTTTTACTAGGCATGTCCTGAGATTATATTTTTGTCAGATTCTGTATTTTTTTATACGAGGGTAAAGTTTACTGTCATGTGTTTAAAAAAAAAGTAGTTTGAGAGGTTGTTTACAGGAGAATAACACTTGCATGAATCTAAGTAACAGCCTGCAGGGCTGTGGTGCTGAAGGTTTATAAAGGTCAGACCTTACCTGTGGCAGCATCACGTCGAGACTCACAAAGAGTCAATAAAACCTTTAGATTGTTTTTCACACCAACACTCCCTGCCCTATTCGCCAGCCATAAACTCAGTTGTTGTCCTCTGTAAGGACACATTAAAATGACTACATTTCCTTTTGTTACAGATGCCATCGCAGACGACACTGTGCGTTACCAGTATGTCAAGAAGAAAGGCTACGTTCGTCTACACACAAACAAAGGAGACCTTAATCTTGAGTTGCACTGTGATAAGGTAATATGTTCACCTTTAACATCAAATTGTTAGCCTGGCAATGTGTCTTCTGTCTGAATAAGCAGCCAAGTCACTTTTATGTAAAAGTCTGATGAGATGGGCGCCGTTTAGCATTTCTGTAACACTTCCAACACATTAACATGTTAATGTAAAGGCTGCAGCAGAACAAGATCAAATGCATACAAAGAAAAGTTTACATATCCATGAGCCTGTGAATAAGCCAGTTTTAAGTTGTTGAGGATGTTTTTCTAATGTCAGATTAGTCTAAATAACATTATATAAATAAAAATATATTTGTTCCCTAAGCCAGCAGAGCAAAAGAGGTAAATATCATGCATCTACAATAACATTTGTTTTCTTTCTTGGAGGGACAAAGGAATGAATTTCAATGAAACACTTTGCATGTAAGCAACCAAGAATTGGCCACACCCATCATATTGTCATTCTACACGTGTGCACTGTCAAACATGGAAAATGTGTTATGGGATTCGCTGTCAGAGGTGCGGGCAAGCTGCCCTCATGTCCACAGTGTTTGTTAATTACGTCTCCGACACTGATGCATCTCCATCTCATGCAGCAGGTGCCAAATATTGCACAACAGTGCTGGCTTTGTAGCTGTATGTCCTGTCATGTTTGACTAAAGCCAAAAACAAACATTTGCATAACAGATGGGTGAAGCAATGTTACATATTCAATGACTGAAAAGTGTTTTAGTTTCCCTTTCTCCCCTGCTTAAGAGAAGATGGAGAAAAAAATAAGTCACAAACCTCCTTGTTACAGAAGGTTAAGTAGGTTAAGTCTGTGTTTTTCAGCATTAACACAGGTAATGTTGGCAAGGAAAACACTGAGAAGTGAAAAGCAGTGTGGCCATCCTCACTCTACTTAAAGCATTTAGGAGCAGATGTGATAGTTTAAGTTGAAAATGTTTAAGATTAGAAACTCTTAGAAAGACTGGGCTAATATTTGTTGTGATGTAGGTCTGGCCTGAGCAGGAGTGTAAATTGTATTAAGAATGACGCATCCAAAACACTGACATCGGCATCTTTTGCAGAGTCTGTCTGCCAGGTTGCCAAGTGTACATCTTGGCAAAAATGTGCTTCTTGTGTGCTTCCTTTTTTGGATTAGATGTAGGGCTTTGTACAGACGGTGTCGTTTTGGAGCACTTTTCCACCCTGGTAACCAGGCGCTTCATGTGCTTGGTTTTCTTTGGCTTCTGAGCCATCAAATCAAAATAATGAGGGGACAACCTGCCCTAAATGCCAAACATTGTCCTCCTCCTTCCCTGGTGGTTTCCACAAAAGATTGCAGGTCTATTCATGGCTTGCTGTTTATGAATTAAACAGCACCGCTTCACTGTCATATACACTCTGTCACTAATCCGGAGACCACCTCCCTGCAAAGTGCCCCTGCCCTCACTGTCCCCAACATGGATGCAAGGTGGGGGAGGGAGTGGATGTTGGAGATTAGTTGCACATTATTTCAAGGAAGGAACAACTTAATATAATTAAAAACACTTAAAGAGTAGATAGCCTTCACCTGAGTGGGATCATTTACATGACTGTGTTAGACATTAGATAGGTGTTCTCTTTTCATAATGGAAATCAGCTTTATAGCTGAAGTGGTTCAAATCAGTCCTGTTTTATTGTTCAGTAGTTTAAAACAATGAGCCTCTGTGATTTTCGAAAGTCTAGGGTTTATAATAGAGGTGGAAAATAAGCAGCATGTTGAACCCCAACCGCAGAATTGAGACCTAGGGGCCATTTGTAAGACCAGCGGAGGTTTGACAAACCTGTCACACTGCGAAAAAGCCAGTAAATAAAAATGGGTTTTACAAAAGCATCTGGTGACTCTTGGAAACCAGCAACCATTGTTGCCAAGGGGAAACATTTTTCTCCCAAAGACAGACATGCATATCGTTCCTCGCCGCATTTCACAGAGTACCAATTCGTCAAAATTGGGTTCTGTTAGTGGCGTTTCATTGTGATTTACAAGGTGCCTAACAGTTTCTTTGTTACGCAGAATGTGCCCCCACCAATAAAACAAAGCTTTGTAGCTGAGTACTAAACCTGGCTTGTAGCTGAAGAGATACACAAGGCTGCCTCAGGCAACATCTGAACCCTATGTTTTCACAGACTTCAGTGTAGAACAAGCACTTTCCAGCAGTGTCACACAGAGTTGCAAATGTGTGACACTGTTTGTTAATGTGAATGCGAAGCTTCATGCTGTCACTTGCATCTACACAGAAACGGAACTGTCACTTGCCTCCACAGCTCGACACCTGTCCAGTGTCTTCTGACACTCCCGTGGCATTAGGCAGCGGTACGCAAGGAGGGTGCAGTCACATTCAAAAAGGATGATCTCCGATGTATGGTGACTTTTAGATGGCATCAGGCCAGGCCATTGTAAATATAGAAAGTACTGATGTTCATCAGCCACTTTGTCTCAGTGTTAGAAGCTTGAATGTGTCTGTTACTCAGTTTCCCAGGTCTCCTTCCATAAACAAAATGAAAAACTTTGTGAAGGGTCCACAGTGGTTTCTGATAACGCTGTGTATCTCAACGCTACTTACTGGTTTTATAACCACCCACTGATTTCAGTAATTATAAGATTATAGAGCAGCTGATTTCATCAGAAACTGAAAAGCTGAACTGTTTCGGCACTAGTTGCTGGGAGCAGTTAGGAAGGAAATCCCTCTATTTTATTGTAGGCTTTCTTTTTTCCTTTTTTTTATAATTGGTGATTTCTGCATGCTTCTTCTAGGTTCCCAAAGCTGGAGAGAACTTCATCCGTCTGTGTAAAAAAGGCTACTATGATGGGACCATTTTCCACAGGTCCATCCGGAATTTTATGGCAAGTACTTTGGCAAACCAAACATGGTGTTCTGTGCTTACTCTCCTTCACTAGAGCCACCAGCATACTGAAAATGATTGACATACGACCTCTCACATGCACAGTGGCAGGTTTACAACATATGATCTGTGGCTTTGAGACTTGCAAACAAAGACTATACTGTATGTTTCTGCTTGTCCATTGGCTGGAGCATGTTTCTGGTTTATTTATCTTTAAAGCAGCATTAATACAGGTAGGTTGTTCCAGCATCTTGGAGAAGCCAGCACAGTTCCTGTGGCTTGAGGCTGTCTCAGACAGGGCACCAGACTAACATTTCATACTGGTGGCACCACCTCTGTTTTACAACATAATGAAATAATCAGTATTTTTGTATAAACTGTTTTAAATAACCTTGCCATCCAAAGTACATAGCCTGTATTTTTATTGAAATTCAGAGAGAGGGAGACTTACAGAACACAATAAATGGGAAAATTACTTCTGGAATAAGTTTCCACCTCTCTTTTTATTTTTATGTATAGTCACTTTAGTGCTCTGTAGCCTCGCAGTCAACATGATGATGATGATGTGCCTATCCTATTTCTGCTGAAGTATAAACCAATGAATTCAATTCAAGTTTCCCACACCTCGACAGGTGATCTACCTGATTTAAGCAGCTGTCTGTGGCGATTGTATTTCGAATGCACCAAAGGAAAAAACGGACTCGAAACACAAAAAAGGGTCCGGGGATGATGTGTGTGTCTCTGAGTCGGTGTGGATCAACACATTTGATAGATTGGAAGTCTGTGCCTTGTGAGAGCAGTCATTTGTGCATAAGCTGTTTACAGTCGCACCCAGTGTGACCTTTGAAAAACGTCTGTTGCATCTTAAATAATTGTGGTCGCAAAATGTGACCACTCAGTGTCCCCTCTCTTCTCCTTGTAGTCCCAGACTGACTCCATTATGTTGAGATCAGGACTGTGGGGGCCAAACCATCTGTTTCAGGCCTCCCCTTTCCTCTTGTCTCTGAAGATAGATAGTTGGTTTTGACTCTGGCTGCATGATTTGTTTGGGCTCATTGGCGTGCTGCATAATGAAGTTGAGCCTGTGGCCTCCCTGTTGGTGTTGTGTGATCGATAAGAATCTAAACAGCTGAACTTCCTAAAACCTTTGCACAGTACTCTACTTCTGTGATTCACAGGTTTCTCTTCCTGGTATGAATATCTTTAAATAAAAAGATTTTAATTTGCAGCAGGTACACCTGCATAGTAAAAGTGATAAGAGGTCAGAGATGTGCAGAAGCCATGAGTTTAAAGTGCTCACAAAAATTTAGACATATGGAGTTGTATACATTGTCTCTCTGACAGCAGTGTGTTAACTGAAGGTTTGGGCAGGATATATTGGTTTAAATGGGAATGCAGAGAACTGCAGCCCTCAACGTGAGGGACTGGTCATTTGTGTTTTCTCTGCAGATTTAAAAAAAAAAAAATGAATTTTTGCAAATGGGTCGAAATTTTGTGTTGTCTTCATGTGTGGTCCCTTTACTGGAAATGTCTCTGGCTGAGTTGTAGCAACAACCACATGACATGAAAGCAGTAACGTTGGTGAGTGAAGACTTCTAGTCGGTGACATTGACTAGAACATGTACCACCACGGATTTTCAGATCCACATTGTTTTTCACTTTCTGTGACTCAGATTACATTTGATATGAATGTAAATGATTCAGGTTCATGTCATGAGACCGTTCTGGCCTCCATGTCAGCCGCTGACTAGCTTTAGTACAAATGAATTGCTTTCTACACTGTTATTCACTGTTTTATTACCGTTTGTTAAAATAATACATTGGTATTTGTTGCATCAGACGTAAGTAAACAGATTTTTCTTTAATTCATTCTCCAGCTGAAGCTTCTTTACCCAGACAGAATTTGAACTGACAGGTCTCTGATCAGCCGCTCATCTGTTTTTCACAGCTGCTGCTACCATAATTAAAGTGGCTTTAAGGGGGCATCTGGTCTCAAGAGGAGCTTTACTTTTTTTAAATTCTGTCCTGTGAATTGTTTATCCATAATTACTGTGCCACTTGTGCCTTTGACTTGCCCACCACAGCTTGGAAGCAGAGGAGGGTGGCCTCCTGGCTGTGGAGAGAATAATTTCATAGCAACAAACACCTTAAAAGCAGTGTGTTAGTTGGAAGAGAGGTACGGCCCTTACTTTCCATAAAGCAGGTTATAACTGTAGGACTTTGTGAGTGTACTGAACATCCTGAGATGATACTTTTAGGAATTGGACTGTTTTACGTGAAATGCGAGAATCTGCAACCCCTCAGGTCCAAACTGTGAGCATGTTGAGGTACCTGGGGCTCTTAAAAATTAAATCATAGTCTTCATGAAACTGTAGTCTGAAATCTTGTGCATCTGTGTTGGGTTGAGCAGCCAAGGTCGACTAAACATAATGGTTTTGTTTCGTTTCCAGATTCAAGGAGGGGACCCCACTGGAACTGGAACAGGTAAGACCACATTTTGAATTACGTACACTGTTGCATTATTAATAGCTTCTTTTTGGAAGCTTAACATACTGCTTTAATCTCAAGATGGGAGCACAGAAGACGTGCACACCCACAGAGATGATGAATGGAAGAGGACCGAGTGTAGGGCACAGGATGGGGGTGTGGTGAACAGCCAGTCAGTATTTAGAAGCCAGTCTCATACAGTTTATTTTTTTTTGCCATGTCGTCTGTGCAGCTGTGAGAGTTTGCAGCACAAAGCATGCTTGTGTACGTGGGCGTCTCTAAGCACGATGCAGAATATATATATATATATATATATCTACTATGGCAGGTTTATGAAGGTGCAGAATTCCTGGCCTGTGGATAAAGTTCTTCTCATCACCTGCACTGAACAACACGTGCAAACCGCTCATGAACAGACCTTTAACTTGGATGAAAGATGGATTTTGCTTCAGTGCCAACAGCCTAAAAGATACATTAGTGTAGGTTTAAGAATTATAACTCTATATAGGCAGCTGTTGTGAATCTCTGTTGTCTGTAGATAAATTTGTAAGAGACATTTCTGCAATGTGCTCATTGTAGTATTAACTCCTCCCCAAGTTCAGAAGAGCCTTATTTATCTAAAATGTTTGGGCTCGGATGCCTTGGAGAAAGAAATGTTTTAAACATTGACTTTTAAATGAAATCCAAGACACATATTCAAAATATGAAAGGAGAAGCACAATGTCACGTATTTCGAAAAGCCCATGTAATGAGTTCATTAGCTGTCATGTCTCATACTCGTGTGCTGTCAGTCACTGGAAACAATTTTCATATTATTACTGTCTTCCCTGTTAAACCTGTTCAGTAGGGTCACATTTGAGGTTGGTATAATTTAAGAGAATTGTCCAATTAACATTAGAGGGACTGCAGTTGGATTAATTGGTTGACTCTGTGAGAGTTTCTCTCTTTATCCTCCTGGCTCGCTCCCCCTTCATTTATGATACAGTCCCACAGAGGTAAAATGTCAGCGAGCTGATAAATTATGCAAAGATGTCAACAGCTGCACAAAGTCTCTGAAGAGCTGATTGGCTGGTACTATGCATTTACACTCCAGCACAAACACACACATACATACTGTAGCATTGCATGTACATGGGTTCATGCATGTGCGCCAGCTGGCAGGATGCAGGGCAGTGAAACGCACCTGAGGGTGATGGATCCTCTCTCCCTATTGGGAGCCAATAAACGCCTGCAGCGCATGTTCCTCCATACTCATCATGATGATGACGGCCTGAATAACGGTTCACAGCTAAAGGCTCTCAACATGACTCCATGTTTCTGGGCAAAGAGGTCTTCTTATGAAAGCACACTGTACTAGTCTCTCTAATGTTGCACTAATTAGATTCACTAGCACTGACAGCTGGTAATTTATGGTGTTTTCATGCAAACTAAATGCATTTAAACAGTTTCACAATGTGAAAATGTAATGTCATGTATTGTAGAGCATGAAGTAATGCACCCTATGAAATCAGTTTTATAACTTGTTTTTTATAACCAGTGTTTGTGATGAAACCTGCAAACAAAATGGCACCTAGGCAGCACTGATGTTGATCACACCTGTGTTTTTCCTGCTTTGACAAGTCAAAGTGTCTTGATATTTGAGCTGTACCTCTAGAAACGCATTACATGATAAAACAGCACAGGTTCTGAGGCTGCTGAAACATCTGTTACCTGCAGTAACAGTCAGATAAGAGAATTTTGTTAAAGACTGAACCCTTTTTCTCTCTCAACTCTCCCTGATCTGTTTCCGCTCCTCACTCTGGCTGTCTCGCTCCCTTTGTGTCCTTCCTCCCTCCTTCACCCACTCTCCCAGGAGGGGAATCCTTCTGGGGAAAACCTTTCAAGGATGAGTTTCGGCCCAACCTGTCTCACACCGGCCGGGGGGTGCTAAGCATGGCGAACTCTGGTCCAAACACCAACAAGTCCCAGTTGTAAGAAATGTTTTTTAGCAGCAGTCTTTGCTACACTCTGAACAGTCACGCTGCTAGAAAGCCAGTTAGCAGGGAATTGTTTTACTTTTTCTCTCTTCCTTCCTTTGATTTCTTTGCTGAAGCCCCGCATGTGAATACAACTAGAAAGGTTTATGCTCAGTATAAAATTCCAGATTGAACACGTAGATGAACATCTAGTATAAAAGTCCATGAAGATGACATTGGTTTGGTCCTTGATAACAAGTAACTTTAAAGTGTTACCCTGTGACAAAAATGTGTTCCATCGAGTAAAACTGAAGTAATTATGTAAATGGTCATGGTTCTTTCACCTTTAGAAAAGGGAAGGCTCTATTTTAGATTTGTTTGCCAATATTTGCAGTATGTTTGACATTGAATATAGTGAACCTCATTTTGAAAACATTTATACCAATGTAATGTTGGGTTTTGTTCTGTTTTCTCTCAGTTTCATCACATTCAGGTCATGCACTTACCTCGACAAGAAGCACACAGTATTTGGAAGGTAAATCTTGTATTTCTAAGAGTGTGTACGCTTAATGGTATGTTTTATTCATTTGTTATTGGACTCCATGGCTTTGTGACTGTTTTGTGTAATTTAGCAGCCAAGGCAAATGGCTTTGAAAGGTGACACACGTGCAGCGATGTTTATGCAGACAATCTGTGCCACATCATCTTTGTCTGGTCTTCTTTCTCGGAGTCTGATGATCTGTCTTTCACCTTCTCGTATGATTCTATGATGCAAAGTTGGAGCCTCAGGCAGTGCAGTTTGGTGACTTTCATTCATTGGTCAGGAGCAGTGGATAGTTGAGTAGATGCCGAATCTCTCTGCTGAGCTGAACATGATCATAAATGGTTTTCCTTTTGTGGAAAGCCATACATTTTCTCTAAAAAAATGCTCTCTATTTCAATCTTCTGGAGATCAAATCAATACCTTGAGCTTCTTAACCTCATAGTTCTGAGTTAGAACTTCCATGATGTGGAAAAATCAGGTGTAAAGGTGTAAGATACAGTATGTGCCAGCAGTTATCTGTGTGCGTTAAATGTCGGTCAACATTTCACACTGTCTGCATCTCATTGTCAGATTGGGGTTGCATGTTATTATAATGTTGGTTAATTTAGTAGCTACAACTAAAAACTGTGGCGGTTGTCTTCCTGCTCAGCAGCAGATCTAAACTGAATCCTTGACTTGTAGTTATTTACGACTTCAGTCACTTGTAAATGATTAACTTAGTGGGATTGGATAAGGGATTCATAAGGCTTTGGGTTTGTTAAATTGCTGTCGAACCCCAGGACTAGAGCTGCTGACAGTGAGCTGGGATGTGTGTGGGGAGCCCACGTCTCTCCTGGTCTTACCTAGACATGTTTGAGGCCTTTGTAACAAATGGAGGATGGTCTGTTGTCCTTTTCTGCAGGGTTGTTGGTGGATTTGAGACACTTACTGCCATGGAGAAGGTGGAGAGTGATCCCAAAACGGACAAACCCAAGGTGGGAGTCTGTGATGTTTAAGATCTAGGCTGGCACACACACACACACACACTGGTCTTATTGGGTCAAATTACACTTCACTTTACACTCTTGAAATGTATCTGACCAAATTAAGAGTACAGTTCCTACATCACTAACATTAAAAGCAGCCGAGGAATACAAGACTCAGCCATAGTGCTGTGAATTAGACCCTTGCATGGATCATGTAACAGTCAGGTGCTGCGACATGACATGAAGCAGGAGCCAGCGAGAGGTGAGTTAGTAATGCTGACGGGCTGAATTCAGCCTTTGTGAAGCAGAAATGTGATATTCAGGTCATCTAAATTCCAAAATATTCAGTAAAAGACACGTAACACAAGGCGGCTACATTATTGTCCAAATGCACATTAAAGCCAAAATCTCATTTTCCTCTCAAACTGTAGTCGCAGTACTTATGAATTGCAGTATTTTCATCCTGCAACCAGAAAGTTGATATTTTAGAGACTGTTATTTGATAGGAGGAAAAGGGTTTTTGTTTAATGGTGATCAGCATAAGTACATAATACTTTGGCTGAGCTACAGTATGTGCTGTTTGGATTCTCTTTTTTTTGTTTGTTTGTTTGTTTTACAGTCGGAGATCAAGCTCATGAGTACAACTGTGTTTGTGGATCCGTATGAAGAAGCTGATGCTCAGGTTTGTGTTTGTTTATTCCACACAGAGTTCACCAAGGTTCCTTTTAGCATCCAGACTAGCTCAGGCTGAATCGGCTGAGCATTGGATCTCTAAAGAGTGAAGGAGCGCACTTTTGTATTTATTTATTGTTGTGGTTCTGCACACTAACACATTTTTACTGAAACTGTGACTGGGCTTAAACAAACATACAGAAAAGTAGAGCCCTGAAATCAGCAAACCTTTTTCTGTTAGAGGACCCTAGGGTCAAACAACATCGCTGGGGTGACTGCACTTTTTTGGTAGTGGCCCTGATACTTTGGATCTCCCTACCTATAAATGTTAGATCTGTCTCAGACCTGTCAGGTTTAAAATCTTTATTAAAATCTTGTTTGCCGTGGCCTATGGTTCCTGGTGGAGTCTACTTATTTTGTGATTGTGTGTCATCTCCTGTTGTTTTATTATACTTTTGAAGTACTTTAGTCAACATGCCATTGTTATAAAGTGCTATATAAATAAATTGATTTGAAAAATACATTTTACTGTTGTAAGGAAAAGAACAGCAAATTCTCAAATGAAGTTGGTACTAGGGGTTGTTTTGTGTTTTTGAAAAAAATCACTTCAGCACTTACAGGTGTCCGTTATTAAACTAGTTGCCAGATAACTGAGTAATTGCTTCAGCTCTGTGTCAGTGTAAGGGTTTTTGCCGAGTGTCCTATGAGGACACAACCCACATGGAGCTTGTGATCTCACCTGTACCTGAAACGTGGGCTGTGCCATGAAAGTCTCAACACAGGAAGTAACAGTCGCTCAGCATGAAGTCGAGCAGTGTGATCATGTCCTCGGTATCCTCTGTTGATTCTCTGGTTTGAGGACTTCCATGCTGTTTCAGATCACGGCAGAGCGAGAACAGGAGCTGCAGAAGCAGGAGGAGGAGAGGCAGCAGGTCTGCACTGCCCTGAAGAAAGCTAAGGAGGAACAGGCCCCAAAGACCTTCAAGGAAGGTGTGGGGAAATACATCAATCCTGCCACAGTGTAAGGACACACAGACGTGCATTCTGATCACCTCTTCACCAAAATACACTCTCCCTCCTGCTAGTTAGCAGTTTGTATGGCTGTCATGTTTTCACACTGTCTAATGTTAGAGGTTTCAAAGAGAAGGTAGTAATCAATGAATGCTCAAATATTACATAGCATCACAGAATGAGTAGAGACATAATGTGCAAAACTGCCAGTTAAGGAGAAGATTACCTTCTTTCCTCCTGGGGGTAATTCAGGTTTATTATCTAGATTATATGTTTTTGCTGAATATAGGTACATTGAGTTGTTCTGTGAAAGTGCAGCATACTATACTTCATTTTGGTTTCAGGTTTGTCAACTCCTGCTTTGGCACAGTTTGAACCTTTAGGCCAAAGTTATTCAGAATGGTCTGTCAGACATTAGAGGCTTGTCCTTTTGCAATATTACATTTAGCGTGTAAGGCTTTTATGGTGGTTTATGCAAAAACTCATTTGTGCTGTTTTTTTTCCCCTCCCAAATCCACATTGTATAAATGTTGAGATATCTCAGGTAGAACCTGGTCAGTGAGGAGACAAAAATAAAGCTCTTACATCTTGACACACTGTATTATCCTGGAACATTTGTAGGAATGCTCAAATTACTGTCATTATCCAAAACTAAGGTGCATTAACTGAACTGAAACTGCTGCACTTTGGCTAATGCGTGTATTAAGAAAAAAATGACTCATGATTTTCTTTGTCTTGTATGATCTTTTCTCTCCAGAACATCCTTAATTTATCCTCTTTGTGTCAGTGTCATCACATCATGTTAACATATTTAGCTTTATGCAGAGGATGTTGGCATTAATGCTTCCAAATAACAGTCTGTCCATTTTCCTAGACAGCTGAATGTGAAAGTGGGTTGGATACCCAGCGATTAATATTCCTTGAAGGGAAAGAATGGCAGACACAAGGTTTAGTTGAAATGAGTATTTTGACTTAAAATGCAAGAGATGTGAAATGTGTGCATGATTAGAAAGGAGCTGAAGTAATCCAGTGGTAGATTAGATGTTAGCCTGTGTAATACTTGGAGCTCTTGATTCAGTTTCTTTCATCCTACATCAAGTAATATCTTGGCTGCTAAATGTTCGTCTGTTTGGTGCTGAGCAGGTAGCGTAAAGTGGAGTTTTAAGATGTTTTTCATGGAAAACTGTTGTTGCTGCAGCTCAAAGCTCATGAGAGAACCAAAGAACCAGAACGTCTGAAGTTGCAGTCAGTAAAACCAAAACAATGGGTGGAAGAAAGCTGAAACACTCAGAGCCGAGGGGAGCTGCAGATTCAGGTCACAATTGGATTATTACAACACCACCACCCCCAAGATGATTTAACTATAGCTTCACTTCCAATAAGAAAAGACAAAACTGTAAACAAGCATGTAAACCGCACCATTTATAGAGGGTAGAGTTGTGAGAGGGAATTCAGGCTAAAGCGAGAATAGATCAGCAAACGGAGACACACTCAGATAAAAGTGGAGGTCCTCGGTGTGATCGTGTCCTGCTTCTTCTCCCTCCAGAAAACGTCCGGCTGGACGAAAGGGGCCCGTCTCCCAGCGGCGCAGCGGCAGCCAAGAAGTCCAAAAGCAAGACCAACTTTGGAGACTTCAGCTCCTGGTAGCACCACCACATTCAGCAGTTCTGTTTGGTTTTTTTAAATATATATATATATACACTGGCCAAGTCGAGGCAAAATTCAATTCCTTCATGCTTAGGTTTTTGTACCATCTTCATCCCTCAATGGCATCTTGTAAAACAATAAATTAAAGCTACTTTTTTCAAAGATAGTGTCATAATCTCATTTTATACATCTTCCTTCAAACACAGTGTCGCTGTTGTGGTTTTAAGATGTTTTGGCGCAACCAAAACATTATAAAGATAATACTTATCAAAAGCAAACAATGATAAGTGTAAGAAGTAATTACTCATCTTCATCACTGAAAATCTAATCAGTATCTGGGCTAAACTGTCTGATCACGTCCTTAGTCCCAGACAGTCTGCTCAATGTGTGTGAACATGGTGAGCTCCAAACACCAGACTGGTGATTGTGAAAAGAAGTTTAGTTATCAGGGTTGGTTTTCTGGTAAAGAATGAAATGTAATGCAGCTGTTCCACCTGTGACGTGGCCACTTTGGCTCAACTTCCGAGTGCTTTAACGGATGTGCTCGTCATGTTTTCATAATTATTCAGCCCAGTGTTCGACAGAAAACTTGAATTATAGATTGTATTGTAAGTCAAGGTGGAACAACCCTGGAATTTTTACTAACTAAACCAAAGGCAGTATGAAAACGTTCTTTTTGACACGTCTGTGTTTCTGAAGGGACATTTTGAAGCTTTGAGGTTTTCAGGTTGTTTTTGTAAAGATCTCCACTGAATGAAGCATCTGAACAACACACAAACAGCTCATTATTTTTGTGTTCATGATATTTTGGTCAGCAAATGAGAACTAAACTTTACTGCCAACATCTGGGCGGGACACAAAGTCTGCTTCGGAGTTTCAGCCGATTAAATGCAGTGATCCTGCCCCCACCCCCAGAGTCCAGTCTGCAGCCTAGAGACAGCACTAACAACGAACTAAAGTTTCAGTGGAGGTGTTAGACATTTAAACTGATTAGTTTCTGCTGATACAATCAGCTGCTTGTGACGATCATTTTAACGATTTGCCCCAGCTCTAAATGAGAAGTGACTCACTAACATGAACTTTTTTTTGTTACTGTTTTTACATTGGTAGTTGCTGGTAAAAAAAAAAAAAAAAAAATGAGGAGAGATGAACGCTCGTTGGTGTTGGAGCCTAACAACTCCAGCATTTTGCAGGGATCCGAACTGGAACGGGCCAGCAGAGCCCAGGGCTCAACTATACGTGTTGCCATGTGGTGTTTTGAACCCTTGAATATCATAAAATGGACATGATGTACATTCTAAAATGACCTGTTTTTCCTGGAAAACACCAGTTTCTAAACTGTATCAGTGTTTTCCAGAATCGATTAAAACAGCCGGTGCTGAGAAAAACAAATGTGAAGCTTTCAAGGTCTCGGAGTGGAATCAAACCTGCACCAGGCAAAGCTGTGAGGGTTCACTCCTTTTGAAGATCCTGGTGAAACAGTGGTGTCAGAGCCAGCACCCTTGTGTCACATTACCCATAATTTATTGCATGCTCGGTTACTACCCTAATGCTTCTCCACTCTGGCCTCATTATTTAGCTGTGCTCTTGGCAGCAGTTGCCAAGCTTTGGGCTTTTACCTGAATGAATACACCCTTGAGTGTCCTCAGTGTCTCCCCTGCCTGAGTAAAATGAAGCTTTGTAAATACCAAAGGTGGAAAATGAATTCAGTGCCCTCCAAAACTAAAGTTCCTGACCTAGACAATTATCCTTTTCACACACGGAGCGATAAACCTAAGCTGCAGTGTGATGGGAATGTCTATTGTTTTCCAACTGTTCTGTCCGCACGGTGTCAGAAAACGACTTCCAGCAGACTGTGGGACTCTGGAGTCACTCACTGAATGAATAATTGAGGTCTGCAGTTGTTGCATGCAGTAGATGGGTGATCTGAAACTGGGGAGTGACAAGCAGATAGAAACTTTAGACAGCAAGTTGCTCACACAGTGTGCTGCACTACAGGGGGCTTGTGTTCCAGACACCACTAGGGGCTGTAGATGCATGTGGGTGTTTGCATTGCATTTAACAAGATATAAAGTGTTTATTACTGTCTCAGGGTGTACTATGCTACTGCCAACAAGCAGGTTTCCCCCAAAATGTTGAACTATTTCTTAAAATGGTTGAGAGATGCAGTTTTTCTCTCAAGGCAACTTTTAGTTTTGATAAAAATCCTAGGTACTTTTCAGATCAAAACTTTATACTTAAAGCAGATAACCAGCTAATGAAATATGCAAGTGGTATACAGCACAATACAAAGTTAAGATTAGTTCCAACATTTAAATGCTGCTATTGTTAAATCAGTAGTAATAATCCAAAATCATGTATGAAACTGAATTTTGCATGATGAGCACTTCTAGGATAAGGATAATCACCTTTATTGGCCAAGTATGTTACACACAAGGAATTTGTTTCTGGTATAGAACCGAGGCAGCCATCTGCGGTGCCAACTCAACCAATGACCAATGGCTCTAACCATCGGGGGCAACGGGGTTTTTTTTGGGGGTACAGTGTCTTGCCCAAGGACACTTCAACATGTGGGCTGGAGGCACTGAGATTCAAACCTTCAACCTTCTGGTTGGGAGACGACTGCTCTACCACCACCGCACCACTGTTGCCTCCCCTTATCCTTCTATGTTTGATACTTAGAAGTACATTCAGAGGACTGAAACACCACCGATGGGGATAAATATCTCTGGCTCAACACCAGTTGGGCAGAACTGATGAAGCCTCTTAGATGAGAGGTGAAACGTCTTTGACCTAAAAACCTAGTCCAGACGTTTTTTCAGTTCAGTACTTAGCGCTACACACTCAGTGCTTCAGTACTAGTGTGTATTAATGTTTGGTGCCCTGACCTAACAATGCTGCACTGTGTGGAATAACAGTTCAGTCTTTTATTAGTCTGCAGATGCCTTTTCATTGGGACTGTGCTGCTACAGTGGCTTCACCCAAACAAACACTCGACCTTACTGTTTCCTTAGGGAGCTGCTGTCAGCACCAGTGTTCAGGCCTTTTTATATCTCTCCTCTTTAAAATTACAACCATCAGCTGTCTGTCTGCTTTCATGTTTGTAGGGCAGCCCTCCATTTTACCTGCAGCAGCCAAGTCATTACATCTGCTTTTTAAGACGAGAAAATGAACCAACCATCCTGGAAAAAGAAGTAATCTGTGACTCTCAACACTCCTCTCTGCAATTACAGCAAAGCTCAATTGTCCGAGCTCAATACAAGCTGCAGCTTTTTAATCTAAAACATTTATGATGGTACACAGTCCATAGAAGCTCTGCACTGTCAGAAAAGCTCCCATGCATGTGTTTGTGACCAATCTGCACCAAGTCTTTTGCAAAAGCAGGTAAAGCCTTTAGCTGAATCTGTACACATTGCTAGTAAGTGGCATTTGATTTGTTGCTCCTGTTGTCGTACAATATGAAAAAAGCAATGTCTAGTACTCCTATAGCCATCCCTATAGACTTCATATCAAGGATTGTTATAGGGTTATAAACAGCCTATAATCATCAGGTGCTGTGCAAATTAACCACCCAGTTGGAAAACACCTGAGCCAATCAGAGCTTTTCAGGTTGGCTTGGGACTGGGGGTGTTATCTACTAGAGCCTGAAAAATGTTGATGCAGAATTACCACAAACATGCATGAGGTCAGTGGAGCTGTACAGACCCATTTAAATTGACTTTCAAGTCTAAGTGCAGGTTTGGACTAAAGAAAATAACTCCCTCCCCAAACAGTCTGATTTTTACTTTACATTGTATTACACAGGAAAAGAAAGTGTTTTTTAAATAGTATAGTGGCCTACTTGTTTGCCTTTCAGCCACTGGAGGGTCAAATTACTTCGTTATTGCCATGATATATATCAGCATATATAATTTTAGGGCCACCATAAAAAGAATCATGTAATTATGACAAATTTTAAAACAACTTTGCAAAAAGCTAAGCTAATTGGGAGATTTAAAGATGTTTTAAAATCACAAAGTTTTAAGAAATATATCTTTATACCTGCATTTACACTTTTTTGCCACTTGTGAATGCAACAGTAACATGTCTAATGTATTCACAAATAGTGTCTTACTTACACCTCTTAGAGGTATGGCCCAATGTTGGCAGTCATTTCGGGTTGGAAATCTGTCCACCTGCTGAATGCAAGTCCATGTTTCACTTCCTGTTTGGCTCTGTTTTTAGTCTCCACAACATCTGACGAAAATATCTTTAGTTGCTACATGTTTGACTAATTATATGAGTTGTTTGAAAGCTGCCTGCTGCAGCAGCAAATTGATGGGAGCACTTAGAATGAACCACACAGCTGTGGGCCAGAAAACAGAGGTGAGCATGTCAGTGTGCCAAACTCACCCAGAACTTTCCCACATCATAAAGAGGAGACAGAGGGTTATTTGGTTTCATTAGTACAAAAAGAGGACTGGCCGTGGCTCCAGGCAGCTGTAAAGCAACTTAGACCTGTTTTCCTCAGGGATAGCATCTAGTGTAACATCCTCCCTTGTTAAGTTGGTACGTCAGCACACAATCTCTGACACTGTGTGTTTGGATACACATCCTGCTTCAGCTCTGTCCTTTCAGTGATGTCACCCGCCTCCTCTGTCATTGGACAAAGCACCTGTCAGTCTAACATGCTGACCAATGGCTACCTGCTCAGCGTCTGGTAGTTTGCATGAAGAGAGTATGGTAGATGCAGCGCTGTAGCCATGGTGACAGTGGATGCTGAGCATTGCCACGACGTTGTGTAGGCAGAGTCTGAACAAGGATGACATCACTCAGGGAGACAGGAGAAAAGCATCTCTGACTCCATGTCTGTTTTGCTGCCTAGGACAGTAACGCCAAATGTTTTTTAGAGACTGATGCAAAACCAAAGGTGCTTGTTTTGTTGGACAGAACTACCTGGAATTTAAATTTCCAGTTCTTTGCAAAGTGTACAAAACAGTTTGTCTCTACAGATGCTGTAGTATCCGTGAAGGTTTGAGCTATGACTTGTTTATAAAAGCCAGAACAGAATTCTTTTTTCCAAAACCCAGCATCTATGCCAATTTTTCCCTGATAGTTGAATGTGGTTTTGCTCCAAAGTGCATGTTTTTAGTGTCTTTCCTCAAGTGATATTACTGGAAAAGCTTTGACTCTTAAAAAATGTGTGAATGTTTAGTAAAAAAACATATTTATTGATATACTGGATTTCAGGTCAATTCAAAATACAAACTATTGTTCAATATTTATTAATAAATACTAATATAGAAATAACAAATTGATGACACTTTAAAAAAAAATCAGTGCAGGTGAGATCAGAGAGAAACTGACTGGTGCATATGTATCCCCTACAACACCAGCCCAGTTATGCCAGTATGGAGCTGCTGGTTGTTGCGTGTTTGCCATCTCCCAGGTGACAGTATAAACAGTGTAACACTGTTGTTTGTGTACCGCTTGCTCACTGACTCTCCTCTTCTCCCTCCCTCCCTGGCTCTGACTCACCGCTCTGGGGATGAGGACCAGCCCCTCCTGCAGATGACATCAGAGGATTTGAAATAGCAACAGCATTAGTGCTTCCAGCCATGGACGCCTGCTGTAAGGCCTGCAACCCAGGGCCACTTCCAGCTGAGGGTGAGCAGGCGTGGGAGGGATGGAGGTGGGAAAAAAAACAGACAGGAGATAATGAAGTGACGGGAGCAAAGGGGGTTGTTGGCTTGACATCTTTTTGAAAGCTAATATCTCATGCAGAGGGGATACAAAATGTGAGAGCAGCAATTATGCTCTGTCAAATTAAGCATTTTCACCAGGTAATTTGCATTTCAACCTTCTATCACTTGTGATGGTGGAAAGAGTTCTGTATCAAGAAAATCTTGTTGTTTCAGACCTTTTCACGGTTTGCACCTTGTATTGTAATTTAGATTTAATTTGAAATGGATAAAACTGGCATTTTTGTCCATTATTTTATTCTCAATAACCATCATCACCCAAAGTGACATGGTTTTTGAAGTAAAGATCAGAGGTTGAAAGTATTCAGACTCCAAGTTATGGTCAGATGCATCTTGTTTTGCTTTAATTCTCCATGAGATGTGTCTAAAAAGCTAGTGCTAGTGTTTTAAATCATCTGGTAATGGAGAACAGAAAACCAAGTTTATTATGAATAAATGACCTTAAATATGGCCAGTAAAGGTTTGTCTGTTTACCTGTCACTCTGCTTCTCTCACACCAAAACACTTAATGGTTATCTGTACTTCTCTCCTTCCTGTCTCATACACAGAACCTGTCTGTGCTGATGGAGTGTGAGCAAGAGAAAAAGATACAGTCGTCCAACCAGTGGACTCCCAAAGCGTGACACCACCCCTTCCCAGTGTGAACCCCACCCCAAACAGAGCAGCTCTCCTGTGTAAGAGCTTGAACAGTGTGCCCAAGCCTGGCAGAGAAGTAGGTCAGAAGACCTGAGAATAACACACGCTGACACAAACAGCCAAGACCACTACATCCTGTCTATGAGCAGCCGTCACAACATGGGCAATGGACACATTCCTG